AGAATTTACTTAAGAAAAATAGCGAATTAAATGGTATTGACATTTAAAAAACTAAAACTAAAAAGTCAAGAGATCCAGTAAAGTTTTGTTTATTGTTTAAACTGCAATGAAAGAACAAACTTAAAAAAAAAACTTTACAGCAAGTTGGTTTCACATGTGGAAACGTTTGCACAATCTGCACTTGCCGCTGAATACCCACTGACGGATTAGCTTAGTAGTTAACTGTCACTAAGTGTTAAAGTCAGGGATAATTCAGGGCAGTAGGTGCATATACTTTGTCTGTATGTGAAGACGCAATTTGTAATAGGAAAAAGTACAGCGACGCCATTTTGTACTACAAAGCATGATGGGAGATGTAGCCTCTGCGCAGCGGCCAGGGGGCTGGGGACGAGCGGAGAATGGGTCCGCTACCAATCTAGATTGAAAGTCTCCCTAAAAGCCATTTTTATGATATTTTCTTTGTAGAAACGGCATAACTAGTTCCATCTTGCAGAGGAAAGGCATAAACGGTTTAGGAGGACTGTTTTTGTTGTTGTTGTTGTTGTTGTTGTTGTTGTTGTTGTTGTTGTTGTTGTTGTAGTTCAAAAGACAAAATGGCGCTGCTGTGCATTTTTCCTTTTGCCATTATCGACAAGTCTTTTAAGGCTATGATTTCGTCTATTTTCAAGTAGCCATAGATAGCAATAGACAGAATATTAAAGTTTTTCGTTAAGTTAGTTTGCATTCTGAAGGAATTGATAGAAAAAAACTGTATTTTATCAATGTACAAATCTGTAAAAAAAAAAACCCCAGCCACATAACCTACTAAATACAGCTGTATCCCAAGCCGCGCCTGCATAAATTTATCTGTGGTTTCTGCGCATGTACAAATGTACAATACTGCTGACATGTATAGCAGACTAAGCTATTTAGTATGGCTTTGTGATATTTGAAGTAATTTTTTACTAAATTAAAACTAGAGCTGCTATTAACTGAAGCTAGGACAATTAAAAAACGAGGTTGTACATACATTGATTTACTTTAAAATAATGTATAAATAGGTGAAAACAATCAGTACTGGTCAGTGGTCATTATWATAATAATTGGACTGARWATTTTTGAGTTCAAGGAGGTGSGTGCATATTAGCCAATCAGAAGCCAGTATTTGAGTTAAAGATATGYGCTAGCGTTGTCCCCAGGCTGCTCATCTTTCTTCACCTYGACGTCATAWATGTCACGTGCTCTGAGAGTGAYCGCCATTTTGGRATCGGTGAAGAACTGGACTCAAGAGCTTGTATTGTCACTTCTTGTTTTGGTAAGACAATACTAGTTGAATCAAAGAATTAAAGAAAAAATTATATTAAGAAGCCGTTGTTTTTGTTSTCAAAGCTTTGCCCAATCGATGGATATGAGAAATTGACCTCTAGTAGAGTAACCAATCAGAATGCAGGATCATTGTCCCTGATATAATAAGCCGATACCAAAAACTGATATCTTTGTATTAGACTCGTAGCCAATCGGAATAAGACGTATYTGAAATCTACTTGTTATGTGTGCTAATCCAAAGTCAATATCTAAATGAGACTCCCTTGGTGACAATATACCTTTGATTTGAGAAAATACAGAGACAAGAACTGTCACGTGATTACGAACATTATCAAAATGCATTGAAAAGCTTAGGTCAATCTTCATCACAGGCCTTCAACATGGATCTCATTCCAGAGCCGTTGTCTATCTATATTTCCATAGGGTTGATCTCTCTGCTTTGYCTTCTATGGCTAATTGGGATATGTTGCTGCAAAGGACCTTGTAGGGATTTTAAAAAACCGGTGCCATCGACATTTGAAGCTCATCTCAACCCAGCAATGAGACATTCAACGCTGAAGTACGATCAGTATTATTATAAATTACTGGTGAGTGAAAACAATGGCTTAAATACTAAGAATTTAGTTTGAATTGAAGACAATTAATATAGTGAAACGTTTGTACATTTTGAAGCTTTTTCATCTGGCSATACAAAAATATTTTATTCTCCGTTTGTCACCGAATTTCAATAGCAAAAGGGAGAAAGATATGTGTCAACGTGTTGACGGGTTTTTATAATCCTGATCTATTAAATCCTCCCATGGTTTTGTGATTGTAAGAAAAACATGTTTTATATAATAATGTTTGTYCTTTTTATAACAGTTCTTTTATTTCAACGAATACAGTGGAAATTCATTGAATTATTTTGTARTTTAAACTTATTAAATATTCCGTTTTGGGTGAATTTTTTTGAGGTTATAAATGACCTCATGCTTTTAAATGTCAATATGATAAGATTTCTGCGTAATTATTCATAGACATGAACACACTATGACTCCGCGGTGGATTTTAAATTCAATTCACCGCGAAAAATGTAGGATGACTGCACAGTCAATTACAATCTGTTCGTTCATAAGTAATTGAGGAATGCAATTTATAATAAGCCAACAATGGGAATTAAAAAAAATGCTAAAAATATGAAAAAAGGAGTGGAAATGATTAATTCTGAAAATTRTAGTAATTGTGACTTAAATCCACATCAGAAAAACATGACTATTGAATGAAGTAAACATCAAAAATGGTATTCTGGTTTATACTAATAGAGTCAACCCCCTGTGAAATAGACTAACATATCCTTCATTACCATTGTTTATTTTGATTTGTGTTTATTTGACTATTTGTTGATTCTGTTTCACGGCATTGGTGTCTTTTACATGAGACTGATAACGCTAAACCCGTGAAATAGATTTAAGTCAACACAGAGCATTACATTTATCATCTGTTCTTTGAACTATTCCACCTTTCTTCATTAGATTTTTTAATGTTTTTTTTTTTTTCACACAAACTACTGTACGATTAGAGAAAAATAGCAAAACCGAGTCTTAATAGAATTGAAAAAAAAAGGTATTTGGACGACGTTAGGCCGGAAAACTCGACTCGAAGAATTAATGCCATATATGTTCAAACGAAGTGGAATCCATCTGAGAGAAAACAAAAATATCCGGAATATAAAAGCGATTGGAAAGCAGACAAAAAGTAGACAAATTCAAGAWATAACAGTAAACATCCGTACAAAAAATCACGCAAGAATTAATATTAGAAGTCAACGTTTTAGTCTGAATTCAACTGTTTCTTATATACACGCATGCATTGCATCACTTGATGCGCATGGTCTATCAGCATTGAATACGGTCATGATTCAGATTTTTCGTTCATGGAAAATTAAGTGACTTTGACTTTAGTCTTCCAACACTTGCCTTAYCGTGTTTTGGGCTCCATCGRTTGCATAAACATATTTTTTATTACTATTCATATATTTTTTTTATTAAATCAAGTCCCGGAATAACATACAGCTTATAAGCTGCGGTTGCTATAGAAGGCTTTTACAATACTTCCATTTTTYCCCCTCTAGAGTGGCATTCGTCAACCAAGAAACACCAGCACACCACGTGATCAGCGAAAAACGCATGCGCAAAACGAAGACTCTCCTTACCTCGTACCCACTCCTCTYGCYGGACTAAAAGGTGACCAAATTCCATTGCGTAGYACTGGGTACGAGAACGATGAACGTAGCTGTTCTGTTGACAGCGTATTCTCTCAGGACCAGGACACCTCGGACGAAATGCACAAGATTCCTACTATTTTAGTTACCTCTGGAACGAGYTCGGATACCGGGACTCAGATTGGAACCGACGAATCACGAAAATCAAGCGACAATTCGRAYWCCGCTGGCCAAAGTAGGGTCTAATCAGCTGTGGTACACTCAGGTCCCTAAYWAGCAAGGTCTCTTACGCCTGCAGCAGTGATTATGTTCCGTTTAGGGGCCAATGAATGATGCTCCTTAAGGCCCCTAATTTGATACATCTGAATTGATTATGTTTCATTTGGGGACCAATGAATAATGCGCCTTAAAGTCCCTAAGATCAAATAAGGWGCTTGGTTATTACTGAATWGATTCGCTTGGCATGCAACTGATGAGTAAAACGTCTCTAGAAGAGATGCCTTGGGATGTTCAATTGCATTTGTAAATCTTCGTGTAGAAATATTTGAAAGYTTCTGTTGAAGCGAGCTGGCTCCGTCGTAACTCCCCCATCCATAAACAATAATAAGAGCAAATCACCTGGACAACAACAATAGCTCAACAGTTTGCAAAGGTTCTCTAAGCACTGAAGTAATTTAGAGTGAATCAGACAGAACGATAAACATATCGACTTTTCTTGAGCACTACAAGACATTGACTGCAGGACTGAGACGTTTTCCGTAATCTGACAAGGCCCAGTTATGCACCATTATGCTTTGGGAGCCGCGAGGGCCAGGAGGCGGCCATTTTCAGTTTTTCACTTTTCTAAGCACTTTATATAAACGCTAATATANTTTTTCTTGCTGTATTTCCTATTGCTTGTCGATATTTTTTTTCGCAGATTAAACAGTATTCCGCGAAATACAGAATATTCTAGGACCCACAAAAAGGCATCAATTTTAACAAATCCGGCACAATAATTTATTGACATGTTTCAAGTCCATTGATAAGCTATAAGGCTTAGTATTATTTTTGTCTTTATGTAATTCTTTCTTCGGTTTCCTGTTGCAATGCTTACTCTACTTTTATACCCACAGGCATCGAAACTGCTAAAAATAAAAGCTCAACATGATCACTGCTCGGGCTTCCTGTGTGGTACACGTAATATAATAACACTACACGCACCATTTTCTGGCGGGCTTTTTAGTCAAAYCACCGTGTTTTCCATCTTCCATTATAGTAAATAATTCTTTGATTTCTATACCACAAAGGATTATTGAGCTAACTCGAATTACATAATAATATAATACAATATAAGGATTTTTAAACAATACATTGAATCCGTGGGGTGCAATAAGGTGTCGAAAACAACGCCACTACAGCTTTATGTTAATGAAAACATCCAAAATCGACCAACATGGCTAACGATCACACAGCAGCTATTACAATCTCATCGATTCTTTTCGCCGGCTTTGTGGTAGCGTGGATTTTATTGRTGTACTTTTGCAAGTGTCGACAGTCGAATGACGAGTTGGATGCAGACGAATTGGCGTCGTCTCGAAAGGAATACAGTCCCGAGCCCGACGAGCGAGATGCGATGGTKAGACGATCATTGAGGGAAAAGAAAAAGAAAGAGAATCAAAGTGCAGTGTAAACTTCAAAAGTTAATAAGTAAGTTTTKYAGTAAGTCAATKTGTTTGTGATTCTCGCYTTCACGGCCGCTTCAACCCATATTCATAGATGCTTTCCGGTGACTTTTCGCGCCTTTTTGYATGATTTTTAACTCTTAATKGAACAATTCCAGCCTCTAAAAAGATCTATAAAGTGTTCCTTGATAAGCTTTTGATATTTTTGTTATTTTCAAAAGAATACATCGTATTTTTACTATGAAAATTTAATCACAATGGTGGGTTGTGTTAAGATGAATATATTATAACGATCACTACAATATACCACGTGTATTGCATGATTACTGATCTGTAGRAATAAGAAAGCTTTGTAAATAGTTGCTTTAATATATAGATACCATGATAGTATTTCACGAGAAATTGACGTTATTGTTGTTGAGTTTTGRGAATCAAAATGGCGCGCGTTATATTGGCTTGTACCTCAGTGTTCAAATCACTAAGAAAAATATAAGTTATTTTAATTTAGCTTTGCAAGTATCTATATATTTCTGTTTGCTTTCAAGTAGACTTGTTTACTTTGGGTTTTTTCGGGGAGTAGATAAAACAAATTTTGAATACCATACTATACTTATGTATTCATTTTAATTCAACGACTTTGGAGTTAATTGACTTTGACTGAGCACAGTCATTTGCATAAGCGAAAGTAATTAGAATAAACCATACGGTTTACAGTTAAAAGGGCCATGTTCAACTGCCATCATATGAGCTTTTGTTTAAGTTGCAGATAAAAATAAAATGAAAAAAATGATAGAAATCCCTATTGCTTTTATTTTGACTAAACGTGATTTTAACGTGTACTGAACCCGAGGGGGTATGTCGCGGAAAGTTTTTATAATTTTATTCATTGTTATTATCGAGTCGTTAATTTTTTCTTGTCGCCTTTCTTTCCATAGTAATACATATATTGTTATTGRTATTAAATGAAACATTGTGAATTATTGAACAGTTTTTCTTTTTTGCCAATTAGAATTATTGTTTTGTAATCCTGTGGTAAAGTTTTACTGACATCCAACTGGTCACATGGTTARCCACGGTTATAAACTGTTGACTTTAGGCTAATCAAATTGAAAATATTGTGTTTTTCTAACTTGATTTTTTATTTAGTTTGTAGATGCCGTTTTCTACGGGGAAACATTGCAGTTAATGTAGTCTCTTCGCTATTTTATGCGCATCTGATCTAAAGGATTCCCAAGATCCGTTATCGTGTTTTCTTTGCAAAAAATTCCCTTCATGCTTTGATATGCAAAATGGCGTCGTGACTTCGTATACCGCTATTTCAGAAAACGTTGAATACTAAATGTATACTGTATTCTAAGACAATATTACATTGTTGCTATTAAACTCCACGTTAGCTGTGTTGCAAAATGACATTTCTAAACTTTATTGCTTTCCATCGAAGATTTTGACTGTACGAGGCTGGTAGTCCCTCGATCTGAAACCACGAAAACTGCTTTTGAACGGCGACAAAACGACCGACAATGCATGCCGGTCTTGGAATACACTATCTTCAATATTCAACATATTCTGAAGTAGACTATTGTACTACAATAATTC